TCTCCTGCTGCTCAGCTCTCTCTCTTTCTCTCTCCTCCTTCTCCTTCTTGCTCTCCGTTTTTGATGTTGTTAAGTAATACAAGGCCCTCCTCAACTCACCACAAAGCCGCTTAGCTTGTCTTATATATTAAGACATAGAGGGTTGATGCTTATAGAAGTGTTTGTGCCATTAAAGTTGGAGTTTGTTTTTGGACCTTGAGTGTTATTTCACCTTAATCCACACCGAGGGGATTTGCGGATCTTAGTCACTCTCCCCTTCCCGCAGGTGGGGCGTGACAGGCAGGACCACAGTCAAGCCAGAAAGACGGTGGCCAAGCACAAGAGCTGAGCTGGAGAGCGGTGCTCCTCTGACTTCACCCAGGCAGGAACTGAGGGCCCAGAAGCCCCATTACAGCTGAGCCCTGGGCCCAGGTGGAGCCCCAGGTGAGGCTGGTCAGGGCCATTAAGGCTCAGCAGTGCCCTGGCAGCAGCCTCCCCTCCTTGGCGTGTTCACCAGCATACCTCCCATCTGGTATCGGAGGGGCCTTGCTGTGGAGTTGTGCCATTGCTGTAGGGTATCAGTGGGCTATTTTTTTTTTTTTTGGGGGGGGTGGTGGAGCCAGGTACAGCAGATGAGGAAAGGGACACTGCAGAAGAGACTTGGAGGAGGTGTCACCAGGCTGCCCATGAGGGGCTGGAAAGGGTCAAGAATGCCCCTGGAGACACACACCACCACCACTGCCCCCCCCAGGCCAGTGCTGGGGGAAGGTCCCACAAGAAGCCCAGGCAGGGGGTCAGGGCTGTGGGAGACCAGAGATCAGGAGGGGTTATAGGGGGAAGGCCCTGGACAGCCACAGGCTAGGCTCCCTGGTGCACACCTCAGGGCTCAAAGCAACCTAAGCTAGCAGTCAGGGCACAGCACCAGCCAGCTACTCCCTAAAGGGCAGGGAGCCAAAGGGGATGCCAGGCCAGCAGGGTCCTTGTCAGATAGGGCCTGTCCTGCAGTACCCCAGCAAGGCAAGCAGGCTGGGCAGTGGCAGCCAGGTTCAACTGAGAGTCTGGATCTCCAGGTGAGCCTGCAATGATGAGACAGGCCTACGATCAAGCCAGGAAGCTAACCTGCAGGCCGTGCTCACATCCAGTGAGAGCAGCCAGGGTCCGCGGAGAAGCCACTTGGAATTCTGCATCATGGGCACCATCTCTGAGGAACTTGTGGACTAACCAAAGCCATCTGATTTCAAGCCTGCTGTTCTGTTCTCTATCTGTCCTACTGCGCTGGACTGTTATCAAGGACTTCGTTTACCTCTTGCAAGCAGATCAAACATAAATAAATAAATTGAACGTGCGGTTGGCTCAATAGCTTTCAACTGTTAGTAAAAAAGCTAGTCTTATTGTATAGAGCTAAATCTAGGCCTTACTAAAAAAGACGTGAATTTGGAGCAGCATGTCACTAGGACACTTATTGGTGAGAGTACCTCTTTGGTCAAGGAAATCTAACACGTTATTTGTAATTAGTAAGAAGGTTTCAAGCAAAAAATGCAGGGGATTAAATGCGTTGGTAAGAGGGATTTATTTGTGCTACAAAGCAGAGAAGGGATAGACTTGAAGACTTTTAATCATTACAAGGGCCTTCCCAGAGGGACAGAACAGATTTTATGAAATGTCTCTGGAGAAGTAGACCTAGGATCAAAAATATCACACTACCTTATCACTAAAATTGAGGAAGAGCATGTTACTACCACTGTGGAAGGCTTTTGAGCTTGTACAAACAGCTTTATAGGAGTTATGGTATCTGAAAGATTCTACTTGCTTACCACAACAGAAAAGCAGACAACATAGTGTTTCCCATTAACTGAGACAAAACAAAACCCTACTAATGGAGAAACAAATTTCCCATCAATTCAGAATAAGCCAAGCTTCTGACTTCAAAATCTAGATTAGTTCATCCAAACAAATACAGAAATACCCTCATTCTGGACCTTCTTTTTTCTTACATTTCCCCTATTAGGCTGCATTAAGGACCAGTCATTCATATTTAAGACAGCTATGAAATTAATTGGACTTTCTCCATTGGCACTCCCTTTGGTATACCATAGCAGGTCACCAGAGGCCCACTCTTGCAACTTTTGTGGGGTGTGATATATCACTTGGCCTAAAACTCTGAGTGGTATTCTTCCTGTAGATTTCCATGGATGCAGCCAAGGAAGTTCATTTATTTCAGGTAGACTTTAGTTAACTGGTTTTGGCCTGTTCCTGGGCTCTTTTGTCTGCAATTATATTTTAGAAAAATTTTGAACTTTAAGAATTTGACCCACTGAGAATTGCTGCTGGATTATCAGATGGTGCATAGAAAGCAAAACAGGGAACGGGGAAGAAATAATCCATTTATAGGTATAACAGTGTCACCTGGCTAGAAATACAAGAGAATGCTCTGTGACTAGAAAAGTCACACAGGCTGTAACATAGTAGGGTATGCCAGGTACAGAAGAGTTGCAGTTGAGAACTGTCCTCTGGTTTAAGCTCTTCCAAAATTAATTTGCTTAGTCAGTATATCCAAAAATCTGGCATGCAGAGAAGGGTAATTGTTCCAAAACTGGGACAAATGAGCCAAAGATTCTTAAAATACAAAAATACAACAGCAGTATTTTTTAAAATGGGCAAATTCTCTATTTTTTTTTTTCCACAAACCTAGGGATCAAAATGAACATTGCACAATGCACTAGCATTGGCACTGGAGGGAGAAAGGCACCTAATGAAATGATAAGAGCTGTAAACATTGTTGCTCTCATTCTGGGCTGCGTTCTCCTTGGTTGTTGCCGTTCACTTAAGAAACCTCATTGCACCTAAAGAATAGGGTAAATAGCAATGATTTTGGTGAATCTATAAAATTCAATGTTTTATAAATATATAAAATTCGCGACTGGAGAATACCAGTGAGCCAAGAAAGTGTAGGCCTATTAGAATAACTTCTGTTGTTTAGAAGGGTTTAGGAAAACAAATAATTACCCCATTTTCCATTTACCTCCAGAATTTCAGTATGCATTAATAGCTTATCAGAGGTAGACTTCTCAGTCTAACATGCTTATGCCTTTCTTTGTTAGAGTACCATGAGTATGGATGTTGATAATAGCAATTGCAGAGAACCGAGGAATATTAAGAAGTAATCCCATCGTCCACATTGCCGTAGTCTGCTCCAGCTGTCTTTACTACCATCTCAACCACTGCCTGGGGAGCAACAGCAGCAACCATGCAGCTGATGCTTGGACGTGAGGGAGTCTGAAAGAGTTGGTTTTTTTTTCCCAACCCCCAAAACAGCCCTTAGCAGTCCTGTCCTTTGGTAAGCTAATGATTTTTTCAGGCAAATAAAGCAAACCCCACTCAGCTGGCTCCTGCAGAGCATGTGATAACAGCAGAATTTGGGGTAAGTACAAGAACTGAGAAGGCAGCTGCAAAGGAAACAACAGGTTGGGCTGAAGTGGAAATAGGTTGGAGGACTCAATGAACCATCAGCATGCTGCAAACATTAAGCAAAGCAAAATTGATCTTACTGAGCAAGTTATTCCTGGTAAAGGTGGGAAGTAATACTGCTGTATAAGGCATACTCATGTTCAAATAGGAAAGGCACCAACAGAAGAGGGTCCAAAGAAAGGGCATTCGAAAGATGGCAACCCTTGCGCAGCTGCTTCGCCCAGGCACTGAGGGGAACTGGGGTCTGAGAGTTCATGCCATTCTAGTGTATTGTGCCTGGGAAGAATGGTGAATTTGGTGATGGAGCTTTAGGACCTGGCTGATAAAAGCAGACAACTTTGTAACCGTTCACTGTTATTTTGTTTTATTTTTATTTTTTTGCACTGATGCAAAAACATACATGTGCAAAACAGAGGGCACTCAGCAGTAAGCAACTTTTAGGGATGTTTATATCTTTTAAAGTGTGGAAGAAAGGAGTGTGAACTGTAAAGGACAGAAGCAGGGCAAAGATGACAGTGTAGGGGCAGATGAAGAGCAACAATTATACCAGCATTTTCTCTCATGCTTGTTAATCCAAAATGAAAATGATTAATAATAGCAACTTTTTAAAAAAGGTGTAGTTTCAGGATAGGCTATGTTTCTCTTTTCTCCTAATAGCTGTATTAACAACTACACACTCCAAGCATTTCACAACATGATTATAATCCCAATTCTCCTCTAAATTATGGTATCAGAACAAGAGAATTTGGGTATCATTTCATCCTTTACCTAGCTGCAAATTTGGATGGTAATAAATACTATATAAACAATAGTTAAGAAATGCAGTGATAGAAAACTTAAGTAATACAGTTGCCTGGTAGTATGTATCTCCTGAGCTTCCAGAATCTGTACTTCGGAAGCAAAAGCTTCTGAAAACAGAAATGAGAAGGTATCTTCTACAAAACTGCAGTTTCAAACTCCAGCTGATGTCCAAACGTACATATTATCCTGTGCTGCTTTCGAACCATGTTAATAAGAGGTGCTGATGCCTGTCTGTTTCAGTCAAAACACCTACTCTTTACAGAACACTTAAATCTTTCACAGCCTCTTCACTGTGTGATATCAACTAATGCCACATGACACTCATGACACATTGTTAGTTCAACAGACCACACTTGTCCTCTAGCCCTAACTGCTGATAAATTACCATGAGAAGACAATTTCTTCTACAGATAGATCTACACAATATAATACAGAGCTGAAGCACATCAGATCTTTCAGGAGATGCTTCTCTCCAGATTCACAGGGGTCTGACCTGCCCTTTGCATAGGTGGACGATCCACCTAGATTTCTCCTTGAGTAACTGCAGATGGAGCGCTGTCATGGCTCAGTGTTCGCACAATGAGCACGTAAGGAGGTTTTGCAAATTCCCCAGGGCAGCTCCTGGCTCTGAACAGGCAGAATTAAGTTCGCTTTGGGTCATTTATTGTAATTCCTGGTTTGGGGAAGTCTGCATCTCAGTGAGCTCTCTATTCAGTAAAGCCACCAATTAGGCAAACTTAAAACTTAAATGAATTAAGATTTTGTCCTTCAAAAATATATGAGGGAAAACTAGACAGAGCAAGAGAAATAGATCAGCATGGGGGAGAACATGAGATAATGAGAAGCCACTTAATGCACACCGATTGAAGTACGAGGAACAGGGAGCACACAGAAGCATTTAGGAATGGAGAGTAATATAACCAACAGTATCCCTCCCCCAAAAATGTCTTTCATATTAAAAAACATCACTTGAAATCATTTGGAGAAGAAATTCTCTCTCTAAATCACAATTTTATTTAAGTGAAATATTTCTGAAATGAAAAGCTGTGTGTTTATTTAATTGAGGTAATCCTATCCGAAGCAGCCAACTTGCCTCATTGCAAATCCCCAGATCATCACAGACAAGGGAAATCAGTGAGAAGCTATTAATTGAAGTGACATTTTTTTCCCACAAAAATGTTATCTCACTTGAGAAAATTCACTTCCTTCTATCTTAAATTTAAAAAATCCTGTCAATCACAGTAAAAGCGAACAATGACATCTCATCTCATATTTGAGTATTATTTTAATTTTGACTGCTGTTGAAGTAGCTGCCACATTCTGCATATTGGAATTTGAAAGGTTAAGTTAAGCTTTGTAGAGTGGATAAGAAAGGAAATTTAGAAGTATATACGATTTTAATATACAATCCTTGCATTCCCCATATCTAGATTTTGATCACAATTGTGCAAGCTTTCTTACATTACCAATGAGTACCTGTAATGTGAAGAAAATTGATTTTCATCCTCGCCACTGCTACAAGAAATGGTAGTATATAAAGATAATTAAAAGATAAGCTGTGGCTTTTCAAAACTTTTATGAGATTTCCTATCTCATTTGCAAATTGGGGAGCACTGCTGTATTCAGCCATTTTAGAATTAATACACACTGTTGTTCTCCACTTGTGTTTTCAACAATTAGGAGACCAAAGGCAAGACAAGAACCACTTGCAGCCAGCCTGTGCAACCTGCAGTGCAACCTAACAATCTGCAGTGAAAAGGGAAAATCGATAGATATACTAGGCAAGACAAGAACCACTTGCAGCCAGCCTGTGCAACCTGCAGTGCAACCTAACAATCTGCAGTGAAAAGGGAAAATCGATAGATATACTCTTTCCAACAGATATTAAAAGAAGATTTTTAAATATTCCTTTTTTTATCATTTCCAAAAACTCACCGGTTGCCTCACACGGCAGAGCCAATTCTTCCAAAATAGAGCCTTGAACTGGTGTACAGCATGCCCCATATCGTCCTTTCTTTCCTTCATCCACTTGCAGAGTGGCTTCTCGAGGACTTTCTAACTCAGAATCATCTCACCAAGCAGTCTGAACATATTATTCAGAAGCTGATTAATTCCAGCACTAGAGAATGGCGCAAGAGATTTGCCTGCTTGCTGAGGAAAGATGAGATTATGTTTCTGCCTCTTGCTTTGCATTCGTTGAGGAATCTCATCTTTCCATTTGCTTCACAGTGCAATGAACAGTAAGGGGATGGGTCTGTATAAATGCCTTCAGGGTGCTTTACTCCACAGTATATATTCTGCACTTGTTTCTACCTTTCTGGAAGACAAATGAATGCAAACAACAAGAAAAAAGAATATGTAACACACATTTGTCTTTTTCCAGAGTTTGGTGACTTTCTGTCACTGCAGTGTTAATGTCATTTTGCATGCATATGCTTAGATTTTTGAAAAAAAAGAATAGCAGGAAAATAAGTACACTGTTTAACCACATAGCCCTGTAAA